AGAGTCCTGATCGTGTTCGGTGAGGTTTTGAAATGTCTCAGAAAGTCAGTTTGGGAAAATAATCCTGAAATTAGTGAAAAGCAGGAAACGGGGGGAGGGAGGGGGGATCAGAAAGAATGATTCCTCTTAGTGAAAATTGCTTGCCTAGACAAAAACTTGTCACAGGGAAGTTAGCAGTAAATGCTGACTGGAGGTGATGGAAAGCAAAGGCTGAGCCCAGTCCAGGATGTGCTTCGCAGTTGGAGAGTTCACTGCCTGGGAATTGAGAATCTTATTTTGAATATGACTGCTAACAGGTTATAAATGCTCTTCAGTCTGTAACTGCTGTAAAAATATGTAAGATGTTGCTCCATGTTTTCACAAGTAAGTTCTTGCAACGGTTACAAACGGAAGAAAAAAAATATCCCAATTTTAATTGGAAAAAGGTTTCTCTTTGCTATTTGGATGTGAAAAAATATTCAGTAGCTATAGGAGACACTTGAAGCTTAAAAGTTCTAAGGGATCTTTACCAGGGCATTTTCCAAGAATTTTTAATTCTGCTCTCAGGCTTTGTTTTCCCAATATAAACACAGACTCTTTGGGTTTAAACTTTTCCACATGTAGCATCTTAGTGCCTTGCACGTGCATTTTCATCCCCATTACTTTGATACTGAGTTTTCTGAGCTTCAAACTGTGTGTTCCTGTAGGAATTATAAAGGTGGAGAAATACGAAGTGTAGAAGCAGAGACACATGACCTGAAGGTTAACATCTGTTAACAGTACATTGCTGGTGGATTGCAGCCAGGGGCCTGGCACCACTCGTAGTTAGGACATCTAAGACATGGAAGGCAACAATTCTTTGGCTGTACTGGCCTAGCCTTCAACATAGCTCTTCACTTTTGTGTGGATTAACTGCACGCTACCATTTTGTTCTTATTGGGGATTCTTGATGAAATATGCATGTTGTGCACGCTATCAATTATATGATGGGTCAGTAAGTTTATCACTAACTTAGCTTATCAGCTTTCAGTAAACCTGCCAAAGTCCAGTGAGCAAAAGTCGCACAAGAAATAACTGCTATGTGTCTGCTGTGGAGTCTGAACATGGTAACAAAGGAATGAGGGCTTAATATGGAATGAAGAACTGAGATGTATGTTTTCTGCTACAGCAGATGCTTTTTGGTGACCCGTTTTGACTGTATTTTTGTATTTCCTTTACTGCATCCAATTTCCAGTACTTTGAAATAGATGGCTAGATAGGTATATAAAGAGACACGTGTATATACGTATATCATTAATGTTATGAAGCTTTTTAAAAGATACAGCAGAGATACTGCTCTCATTAATCAACAATCATTTTTGTAAAGAAGATCTGATTAACTTTGCAGTCCTCGTCTTTAAAGAGCATGATTCGTAACACCATCTCTCTGATGGGTGATGCTCTTCTAATGTTGTAATGTCCATCCAGTTATACACTTAGGCATACTGAAACCTGAAGGACTTTAGAGATGTGCTCAGATCTCTGCTGAGTCAGAGATTAATGAGTAGTTACAATAGGTCCTAGTTATAGGATACACCTGCAGTTAAAGTGTCACTGGGATTTTGGTAGATGAAGTATCTCTAAGCTTTGCTCATGCATGTGACTGTGGTAAAAGTATACCTTTAGCTGGTAAATTGTTAACAGTCTTAGTGAATGGAGGATTCCACTTGTAAGTGTACCAAGAGAAGGAAATTGAGGAGCTGAGAAGGGGCCCCTTCTGCTCCTCTGAGCAGAAGATCTGGCAGTGGTATCAGAAGGCTTCAGCTTTTTTTCCTTCAAATTGATTCCTTTGTCAGTATTTATTGGTTAATTAATTAATTTCTTAGAGAGCTCATACCTTCTTGTTGCATGGTTCTCTGTTCTTCAAACAGAAACAGAAGTTTGTGGCCTCAGGGCCTGTGCCTCAAACAAAGCAGGATATGGTAGGAAAGAAAATAATATTAAAGAAGCTTGTGTGTTTGGTTCATGCACACATTTTCTATCAACCAGACTGCATCAGCTAGAAAACGGTTTACTAGTTTATCTTCTTTAAATGGTGTAGTTTTGTGATTTACTCCTGGTTTGTTAGTTGATGATAGAGAAAATAAGGATCACATAAGATATTTTACCCTATGGGATAATTTACTGGCTATTTTTTTTCCCCTTATGAAATTACAGGAGATTATAAAACAGGGGTAAAAGGGAAGATGGGAGTGATGGGGTTTATTTCCTCAAGAACAGAGCTATGCACTTCCATGGATGGTCTTATTCCAGCTTTCCCAAAGGTATAAGCAGATCAAAAGTATGACTCTGTGTACAGACCTGTGTGTGCATAACCTCATTCCTCTGTCCTTCTGAGATTATTATGATAAACTACTGAAGATGTGAAATGTGCTTTCAGGTAGTTAAATGCTTTGATGGGGAAACATTAAACCTAAAATGTGACTTATGTTTTCAGCCAAGCAGTGCTGGTAGACCGGACAATGTACATTTCGGGACAGATAGGTATAGAACCTTCCACCGGGCAGCTTGTCTCTGGAGGGGTAAAGGAAGAAGCTAAGCAGGTAAGATGTCTTCTATCAAGGAACTTGGCATAGAGTTGACATATACTTAGTTAAAGATGGACTTACGAGAAATTGAAGAGACCTGGAGAGCACATTTTCACATCCTCCAGGATGAGGGCAAAGTAGTTGTCATTTTCCACCCAAACCACTTGGAGGTCAGGGGACAAATCTGTATTTCACATAGGAAAGAATCATGTTCATGTTCAGACCTCAGTAACAACCCTGGCGCGAGTAAGGGAAGCATCTGTTCCTGCAGCAGCAAAGAGGTGGTGTGAGGTAAAAGGATGAGATGAATGTAAGCTTATGATGCAGCTCCAATGAATGGATGTTTTAATATTTGTGGTTTATTAGAAGCTTCTTTTATTAATTTGTGATTTTGCTTACCCACTGAGGGCTGTTGAAGATTTGCTTGGTGAGCTTATAGTAGAACATGGATGTAGCCAAGTTACTACTCACATTTACATATTTACCTAAATACAACCCAGCTAATAGTTAAAAGATTTTTGTCTCATTTTTCATTAGGCTTTAAAAAATATGGGAGAAATCCTGAAAGCTGCAGGCTGTGACTACAGCAGTGGTAAGTGCTGCTGTGAGTGATGGTGGCAAACAAGTGGTTGGTTTTATCTGGATTAAAAAAAAAAAATTAAGTGACCTTTAAAAAAAAAAAAAAGGCTGTTTGCTAAACATTCAACATAGCTATTGAGTTGTTCTCAATAGCTGGAAGAAACAAAAGGAACCATGGATCTGGGTTAAAGAATGAAATAAATCAATCAACATGAAAGTCTTTGTGGTGGGTGTCAATGGAAAGCTGCCTTTTACCAGAAGTTTCTGCCCATGGTAATAATATTTTAACTGTAAGTGGGGAAGCTCAGGTATAGACAGGGCTGCAACTGACTACAGAATCTGAATCTATGGTGTTAACATTCTAGGTGCTTACAGTATTTTTTGAGGGGAGGACTCTAATAATGGAGCCAAACCAGGATTAATGCTGGTTTGGGCAGTCATGGGTAAAAAAATCTAGCACAGACTATATTTTCAGGTCTTTTATGGACTGTTTTTTGTAACAGATATTATATATGATGTAATTTATTGTCAACAGTTGGCTTACAACAGCTTTTTTAATTGATCTGCTTATCACTTCTGTGACTCGTAGAAGAATTTGTCTTAGAATGAAATATAAACAAAGTATTTTCAGAGCTGGTCAGGAATATCTAGTTCCCTAAAGTTTTGTTGTACTAGGTATTCAGACTTCTTATGTGGTTCTCTAGCTGGTAGCTCTAAAGGTCGATATCTGTTTGCAAAACTTTTCAAACTGTTTAGAATACATGAAAGAAATTTACGAAATAAAAGTAAGAAATGCACTAAAGACTTAACTTCTGTAAACAAGTCAGAAGAGTAAAATAACTGCAATTATGTAATTTCTAGTTGTGAAGACTACAGTTTTGATGGCAGACATGAAGGACTTCAATGCTATTAATGACATTTACAAGCAGTGTAAGTAAATCTTTTGGGTTGTTTGATTTTTTTTTTACCAGTATGGCTTGTGGAACAAATTAGACTTGTGGTAAGCAAAGTGTTTTAATGACTCACATGATGTAGTTCTAAATTCTTTGAGATTTCAGTAAAAATATAACATTAAAAAAAAATTAAAATAATTTGCGAACACCAGATCAAGCACAGCCTCATTCTTGTGGATTTGTGTCCTAACATCCCACTAACTTGGTATCATGTGAAGATCAACTCCTGCTATCCCTACAGGTTGATCTTCCTTACCTCCTTACCTTGGTAGATGCCGTGTTGTCCCTAATACAGTTAGTATTCAAGGATCAGCTCCTCCAAGCTTAGGACTGATGCAGCCTGACAAGGAAAAAAGCCAGGCAAACATGCCAGGAGGCCAGTGTAGATGAACAAGGAGCTCTTGGGCAAACTCAAACACAAAAAGGAAGTCTACAGAGGCTGGAAACAAGGACAGGTAGCCTGGGAGGAATGCAGAGAAATTGTGCAAACAGCCAGAAGTCAGGTTAGGAAAGCTCAGTCTCTGAGAGAATTTGTCCTGGGTTCAGCTACAGCAGTCATTTTTTCTCCTTCTTAGTAGCTGGTGCAGTGCTGTGGTTTTGAGTTTCAGCCTGGGAACAACGCTGATAACACAGTGATGTTTTTAGTTGTTGCGAAGTAATGTTTACTCTGACCAAGGACTTTCTCAGTCTCATGCTCTGCCAGGGAGGAGGGGAAGCCAGGAGGAAGCAGAGACAGGACACCTGACCCAAACTGGCCAAAGAGGTATTCCATACCACAGCACGTCATGCCCAGTATAGAAACTGGGGGGAGTTACCCGGAAGGCCCAGATCACTGCTCGGATCGGGCTGGGTATCGGTGGGTGGTGAGCAATTGTATCCTCTCCCCTTGTTATTTCCCTTATCATCATTATTATTTGTGGTAGCAGTAGTGGTTTTGTATTATACCTTAGTTACTGGGCTGTTCTTATCTCAACCTGTGGAAGTTACATTCCTCCAATTCTCCTCCCCATCCCTCCAGGAGCAGGGGGAGAAAAAGGCGGGGGAGTGAGCGAGCAGCTGCATGGTTCCGAGTTACTGGCTGGGCTTAAACCATGACAGAATTAAATATAGTCAGGAACATCAAGGGCAACAACCAAAAAAACCTTTTATAGGTACATGGGTGGTAAAAGGAAGAGAAGGGAAAATGTGGTCTCTCTCTGGAAGGAAACAGAAGACCTGGTTATGGTCTATGGGTAAGGTTGGCCCCTGTTGACTTTATGCAAATCGGGGATCTTGGCTCATTACTTTTGTGGCAGGGACCTGTTTCTCTCTCTTGCTCTTTCTGTGAGAGAGCCCTTACCCGCATGCTGGTGTTGCAGTTGGGTGATCACCATTCTGCTTTAATCTTTCTTTTTCAGCCAAGTTGGTGTTAAGGCTGTGCAGTGTCAGCAGTGCAAGTTATCAGTGACCACTACATTACAGCTGTAGCTGGCCTCTGATGAGTGGTGGTAGCTTGCTGAGATGTTAGAGCAGTG